TGTTCATCCAGCTTTACGCCTTGTTATCTCAGATTCTCCAACATCTGCAGTGCCTACTATCTCTCACATACACACAAATATATGTACAAATTGTTTTGTTAAATGGCGCAAAGAAACTTATCAAGTAAAGTAAAGATACTGAACACAGTGGTGAATCAGCCAAGTGAAAAGGGAAGAACAAGTATGAGGTGCACAACGAGTGTCAGAAAAACTATCCTTTACATTTAACTGAGTAAAAGTCCATCAACCGTAAGATGCTATGTCAGTGAGAATATACAATGATGAAGAGGAAACCCTGACATAGAGGGCAGGGAGCTGCCTTCAGAATGAGGCACAAGCTTGTTGTCTTTCTGAGCATGTGAATTTCTGTCACAAAAATAGGATTTAGGTTGAAAGAGATGAAACTAAACACTTGTTCGTAACCTGTGAGAAAGAACAGCTGTATGCTATATGGGCTGAGTCCAGGTTGTACAAATCCTTGTATTAGAAATGGACTGGAAACCTCATAAAAAGATGCCAAACATCAAAATCTTGACTCAACCAGGGGCTTTGCTAATTACTTCCACACTTCCACATTGAAGATATTAAACATGGAGGATTGTGGTAAATTGGGCGTTTTACCTCTCTAGTTAAATGCAGACATTTAGCTCAGACTGTGAATTGGTTTTCAAGCTTCTTTATGTAACCTGACTGCTTTTTTTTTAAAAATATTCAGTGCAGTAATCAAAATCCGAGCACATTGTCTCAAGCTCAGGTTTGGAGATTATTTGTGTTTTCCACTTCATTGGAAGAATTAAGGAAATACTGGTTTTCTCCAGAAGCAGAACTGTGTCTGTTTGGAACTCAATGTATTGAGTGCGCAGAACAGGCGTTACGTCTGTCTCTATCTTTTCTGCGTGGGCGAGGTGCCCCTTTGTGCATGTGATATTGCCAGTCATCCATTTATCACAGCAGGAATCAGCCTGTCTTCCACAGCTGTTTATTTGCCCTTCATGGTTCAATACAAACTTTCAGTCTGCTCACTCCCCTTCCTGACTGATTTGCCAGACTGGCGAAACTAGCCCTTAAATGTATGCTGCAATCAGTTTCTCTCTATTTTCTCTGGAACATATCATGGTACTCATTGCTCATTTACAACATGCCAGTGCAATGGTCCAAGGACCGGTGACATATTTCCACACTCTTGTGTAACCTCAATTCTTCTCTGAACAGAACCCATTTGGCTTATCATTAGCTATTTACTGGTATGTTTTGTAAATACTGCCATTATAATTGGTGGCCAGACGCCTCTAATGCTGAACAATTTGTCTTCAGGAATGTTTATTTCTCTTATAATTACGTTTAGAAAGCTGATTACTATTGGCTGCACAGTTCTCTAGCAGTGGAACAACAGTGGCCAGAAACTAAGGCTTGATGAACTGGAACCTTAGAATGACAGCCCTTAGAAACATGTAGAACCAGGAAAGCATATCAGTCCACTCTCAAAGATGAAAACCTCTTAATCACTTCAAGTATCCTCAGCTTGTCACATACTATCAATTCTGCACACCTTCTGTCTTCTAAATTTGATCCTATCTCCATTTCTAGAGTTTATTGTAATCTCAGGCATTTACTTGCTTTCAAGATTCTGTAGTAGGAAAGCAAAACTCAGAAGCTCCATTAATAAGCATTGTAACAGCTTAGAAACAGTTAACAGCTATGCAGGAGGATGACTGATGCACTGATATCAACTTAATCTATAAATCAATAGCATCTGCAATATTGCACAAAATTATAGTGACTGAAGGAGCATGATTCTGTGAAGAGGAATCTGTGACACAAATTACCCCCATGTTGCCAAAGTCAAGAGATGTCCATCAGCGCAAGATGACTAAAACTTGTTGGCACAAGTTTATACTTGGCAATGTCATCTTTGCGTGATATTTGAGATTATGATGTAAATAAATAAGATGTGAATACTTCTAGCAGTAAATTAGACTGTCTAGTTGGAAAATCATCTGATCTATGGGCACATGTTGTTCACAATCCCAAAATTACAAAGGCTGAAGTGTGTGTTGTATCACGTCAGGTTAGATCTGCAGGGTTTCTGTAGGAGTTAGCTTTCCACCGGTTCATTTAGCAATGTAACCTGGTTAAGAACAGAGTCAGCATGTCCCTTGACAACGTCACTTTCTGTTTCGTAACTGATCAATAAGGAAGATTTCAGATCTTACTATAAACCAAATATCCTCTATAAATTCATACATTCATATTCATTTCCAGATGGGGTATCTCTGACAAGTTCATTGTTATTGCCTAGAGAAGGGGAATGGAGGGTTTTTTGAGCTGTTGCAGTCCTTGTATCTTCTGTCAGCCATATACCTCCCTCACACTTAGCAAGAAAGTCCTTTTTTATTGTCACGATGCCACTTGATTGACTGAAATTACATAGAAACGAACACATTAGGTTGTTCTTGCAAATGACTGCTTTACAAGCTTGAGTCTGTGCTCAGGCTGACTGTCACATACCTGGGTGGGGGGAGGTGTCCTGCCCTCTCCCTCACACTCAATGTCTCTCTCAGGCGAAGGTATTTTTATTCTCGCTTAAATATGTAGATTTCCACACTGTGGTCCCAACTGCTTAAAGGTAACTGGAGACAGATGTGCTAGGTGGAGAAAGTTATGAGATGGAAAGATACTTATAAAATGACATGTGTCTTCAATCAGCTTCTTTACAGCAATTCCTGATGGTCAGATCATTTCCCATAACTGGACAAGACCGCTCCTTTCACTGTGGCTCTTACTGTAAATGTGGTTCATATTTAGCAGGAGCAAATCAGGGGACTTGCCTGACAGTATATTTCCAAAATTTATTTTTGTTTAAAGTGTGCATTAGCTTAACTGATTCCCACAGGATTTTCTGGGAAATCTTCACAGTTTAAATAATGACTGTATCTTTCTTCTCCTTTGCAGTCATGTGTCATTGCCAGGAGAGGGGAGCTGAGCTGATAGTTGGTGATCAGGCGCATATCCATCTCTATGAACAGGGAGGTGTTGCTCAGGTACCAGTGGTTTATTCTGCACAGTGCACAGGGTGTAACAGTATGTGACACCCTCTTGATTAAACCTGTCAGTAAACTATACTGTGTGTCCCTGTATCTCTATTTTGTGGCAAGCGTAATAACAACTTTTAACTAAATTTGGCTTTGTTGCTGGTGGAGGGAGTGGGGGAGGTAAAATGATTGATGCTGTGGTACATGGAAGACAAAATTAAACATGCCGAGTCTGTGAATAAGTACTGCTGGGCCTTCTTAAATTGCAACACACACCCGGTTTGCACATGGGGTTCTGGAATATTCAACAATTTCTGTATATTTGTGTTGCTAAATGGCAAATAGCAGTGCAACCTACTAAACCACCTAAAGTATCTTTTGTTTAAAATAGAAGTGCCATAACTAAAGTCCAGTCTTGCTTTAGTCTTAAAGTAGCTGTTCAGAATCTCAAACTCCCAACAGCAGAGGAAATATATACCACGCAACACTAAGTGGACTCACTTTTTAAAAAAATTTTAAGTGGCGTCCAACTAACTCATAATTAACACAGTCAAGACACTTTTTTTTGCTTTCTTTTGACTTGAGGTTTATCTTAGTGTAGCTTTCAGCTTGTGGCTGTAGAGGAGATACTGGGAAACGGATCTATTTTTTCCATTTAGTGTTGGCACCATAACTCCAAGATGTAAATCCCAAAATTTCCCCGACCTGCCCAAATCTGCTGCAAACTCAGAAGTATGCCCATTCCTACTCCGTTCTCATGAACCATCTCTCTCTAGAAACTTCAAGGCTTTGTTTAAGACCTGCACCTCTACTTTCCTGCAGCCAACCCCCAGTCCCTGGTACTAACTTTGAAGTTCTTGCAGAGAGAGACTGTATCGTGGAATTTTGAGCATCTGCTCAGCATCATAGAGCTTTTGGTCCAACTCGTCCGTGGCGACCAGATATCCCAAATAAATCTAGTCCCATTTACCCACATTTGGCCCCTATCCCTCTGAATCCTATTCATATATCCATCCAGATGCCTTGTTAAATGTTGTAATTATACCAGCCTCCACCACTTCCTCTGGCAACTCAATCTATTCACTCATCATCCTCTGCGTGAAAATGATGCCCCTTGGGTCCCTTTAGAATCCTCCCCCCTCACCTTAAACCTATGCCCTCTAGTTTTGGGCTCCACTACCCTGGGGAAAAGACTTTGTCTATTCACTCTATCCATGCCCCTCATGATTTTATAAACCTCTATAAGGTCACCCCTCAGCCTCCAATGCTCCAGGGAAAATAGCCCCAGCATATTCAGCCTCTCCCTATACCTCAAACCCTCCAACCCAGGTAACATCCTTGTAAGTCTTTTCTGAACCCTTTCAACATCCTTTCTCAATCAGGGAGACCAGAATTGCACACAGTATTCCAAAAGTGGCCTAACCAACGTCCTGTGCAGCTGCAACATGACCTCCCAACTCCTATATTCAATGCACTGACCAATAAAGGCATGCATACCAAATGCCTTCTTCACTATACTATCTACCTGTGACTCCACTTTCAAAGAACTATGAACCTGCCCTCCAAGGTCTCTTTGTTCAGCAACACTGCTCAGGAGCCTACCATTAAGTGTATGAGTCCTGTCCTTCTCTGCAAGCACTAAGAATCGCTGGTCTTGGTTCAGTGGGACCTCATCTTGAGTGGGAGGTCACTGGCCACATTTCACTGCAGAGACCTGATCGCATAATCTAAGCTGCAGTGCTATATTGAGGGAGTGCTGCACTGCCAGTGGTTTAGTCTTTCAGGTGAGCCATTACAGCAGTGTGTCTTGTGTGAGAAAAATCTTGCACCACCTCAGGACATGCTAAGGTGCTTCAAAGCTAGTTAAGGTCTTTGCAAGTTGTAATGTTAGAAAATTGACAGCCTAATTGTGCACAGCAAGATCCCATAAGTAGCAATGACTGGAATGAAATTCTGAAGACCAAGAGCTGAGTGACCAGAAACCCTGAGAACCATTGACTGTCTGGTCCTGACACTCCCTGCTCTCTAGCTGGATTTTTGTTTCATCAGAGTTCCCCCCAGCACAAAAAATAAATGCAGATCATCAAAGCTATTCAGTCCTTTTATCTCACAAATCCAGGCAGATCGTGAACCTCCTTACAGCATTAAACTGCAGCTCATTGTCTCAGGGTCAGACCGTAGCTTTAATTGAACTTAATAAAGCAATGAAACGATGACTCTCAGTTGGACCTGATTGATTGATTTATTATCATGTGTACCAAAATACAGTGAAAATGTTTGTTTATGAGCAGTACTGGCAGATTACCACAAACAAAGGATGTACAGATCAAAAGACTTAGAGGCATACAGGTTACATTGCAGGTTACATTATTTGAGGCTAGAGTCCATTGAACTGTCTGATAATAGCTGGGAAGAATCTGTTCCTGATACTGCTCGTTCATGTGTTCAGGCATATATTAAATGCAGCAGCTTTGCCAGTGAACCAACAGAATCTGTTTGCTACGCCATGACATTTATCCAAACAGTCTCATTCCATGTGTTCAGACATGCAAAGTTATTGTGTTAACTTGGAACATAAAATTGATGAACAGATGTAATGCGACAGACAATTGTGCCGGTGGAATAGCTGTCACATTGACCCTGTTTGTTCAAACATTCTTATTCTTGCTCAGTTGCTGCCCTCTAGAGGTGTTTAGTTACACTTCAGTTTAGGATTGCATTCTAACCTGAACTAGTGAAAGTTAAATTATGAAAGTAGAAAGTTAAATCGATGTTGTTTGGCTGCTTCTCAACTCTTTATCTCTCTTTCTCTCCATTTTTGTGCTTCTTTCTATCCTGCTTATTTTCCTTTTTGGCCCTGATTGTCTCCCTTTGGTTTACCTGTTTGTCTAATTTCTGTAGCTAACAGACAGGAAATGCTCCACTCTTGCAGGATTAGCATCATGGTTTGTTACCGCTCACGAGGGGATTATTCAGCCCAACTTGTTTCACCAGATCTTTGAAAGAGCTGTTAAAGCATCAACACCGATCATTTGCATTCAGAATTTGAAATGTTTCCCTGTGATTATATCAGGCCTTAGTGAGACCATGCCTGCAGTATTGTGTGCAGTTTGGTCTCCGTGCCTAATAGAGAAAGTGCACTGGAGGTTCACTTAGCTGTTGCCGGGGATGACAGAACTGTTGAATCAGGAGTGATTTGTTCAACTAATCAAATCAACATACAGAAGGGAGATAGAGCTTGGTGACGTGGTGCAATGAAAACGATCTGTCTCTTAACTTCGGCAAAACTAAAGAACTGATCATCGACTTCAGAAAGAAGGGAGGAGAACACGTCCCCATCTACATCAACGGAACTGAGGTTGACCGGGTGAAACTATGGAAGGTGGTGTGCACAGACCATCACAGAAGCCAACCTTCCATCCATGGACTCTATTTACACGGCTCGCTGTCGCGGAAAGACAGCCAACATCATCAAAGCCCCATCGCATCCCTGTAATGATCTCCTACAAACTCTTCCATCAGGCAGGAGATACAGAAACCTGAACACATGCACCAGCAAGTTCAGGAACAGCTTCTTTCCGGCCATTATCAGACTGTTGAATGGACTCTAGCATCAAATAATGTAACCTGTATACCTCTAAGTCTTTTTGATCTGTACATCCTTTGCTTGCTGTGATCTGCCTGTACCTCTCGTTAACAAAGCTTTTCACTGTATTTTGATACACTTTACAATAAAATCAATCAACTGTGTTTGTATTCAATAGAGTTTCAAAGGAAGAGAGGTGATCTGATTGAAGCACACAAAATCCTAACAGGGCTGGACAGACTAACTGCAGGGAGGATATTTTCCCTGGAGTCTAACACCAGTCAACACAATCTCTGAATACAGGGTAAAGTGTGTAGAATTGAGATTAGGAAAAAAATTCTTCACTGAGAGGATGAAAAACCAGTGGAATCCTCTATGATAGGAAGTTGTGGAGGCCAAGTCACTGAAAGTTTTTTTCTAAGATTTTAAAGGCATCAAGGAATTTGGGGAGAAAGCAGGAATATTGCATTGTGATAAAGGATCAGCCTTGCTCACGGTGGCTCAGTGGTTAGCACTGCTGCCTCACAGCGCCAGGGACACAGGTTCGATTCCACCCTTGGGCGACTGTCTGTGTGGAGTTTGCACATTCTCCCCGTGTCTGCGTGGGTTTCCTCCCACAGTCCAAAGATGTGTAGGCTAGGTCGATTGGCCATGCTAAATTGCCCAGTGTTCAGGGATGTGTAGATTAGGTGGGTTATAGGGGGATGGGTCTGGGTGGGATGCTGTGAGGGTCGATGTGGACTTGTTGGGCCGAAGGACCCATTTCCACACTGTGGGGATTCTGTGATGTTGATGATGATCAGAGATTGGAGGAACAGGCTCAAAGGGCTGAATGTTTTTATGTTTCTATGACAGTATCTTCTCTTTTCAGATTGCTGGAATTCATTCACGTGTTGTAAGGAATCTTCCGGATGGAACGTTTGATTTGAATGAGGTTGAATCAAAAATACAGCAGCATTTCCCAGACTCTCACTACCCCAGGACTCGTGTCATTTGCCTAGAGAACACTCATAACGAGGCCGGAGGGCGGGTTTTACCACTCTCCTTTCTCCAGGAGGTGAGGCTACTAACACAAGTTTTGAAGTCAAACTTTTATCTAAACCATGCGCAAGCAGTGCTTTATCTCAGCAGAAGCCTTTACCGTGACTGGAGGAGGGAACAGGGATTAGGCCATTTTAGTCCGAGTCTGACTGGCACAGGTACTGAACTTTCTCCGCCAGCTCTAACTGCTGGTTGATGCTGCCACTAGGGGGAGCACAATATCAACACTGATCCCCGTTCAATAACAACTGGTATTTATACAGTGCCTTTAATACAGTGAAACTTTCCAAGATGCTTCACAGCACAGTGATCAAACAGCATTGATACCAAGTACATTTGTTGTTTTATTCGTTCATGAGTTATTGGTGTCGCTGGCAAGGACTGCATTAGCTGTCCCATCCTTCTTGCCCTTGAGGATGTTGGGGTGAGCCACATTCTTGAATCATTGCATTTGCTGGGGTATAGACACACTCTTGTCCGCAGGGAATTTCAGGATCTTGTTTCAGTGACAGTGAAGGAACGGCGATATAGTTTCTAGTCAGGATGGTTTGTGGCTTGGAGGGAAACTTGCAGGTAGGGTACCCATGTATCTGCTGCCCTATTCCTTCGAGGTGATAGAGCTCACAGATTTGGAAGATGTAGTCAAAAAAATGTCTTTGGTGAGTTGCAGTGGATCTTAGAGTGGAGGAAGTGAGTTTTGAAGGCAGTGGATTAAATGCCTTGCACATTATTTCTATTCAAATAATCATTAAATGCCCTATGATAGGATCCCTACAGTGTGGAAACAGGCCCTTCAGCCCAACAAGTCCACACTGACACAAAGAGCATCCCACCCAGACCTATTCCCCTAATCTACCCCTCCCTGAACACTACAGGCAATTTAGCATGGCCAATCTACCTAACTTGCACATCTTTGGACTGTGGGAGGAAACCAGAGCGCCTGGAGGAAACCCACGCAGACACGGGGAGAACGTGCAAACTTCACACAGACAGTTGCCCCGAGCATGGAATCAAACCCAGGTCCCTGGTGCTGTGAGGCAGCAGTGCTAACCACTGAGCCACTATGCCACCCTGTTGAATATCTTAATTCAACACTTGAAGGCTCAAACCAAGTGGTAAAGTTTTTCAAACAACGCATTTGCTTCTTTTGGTAATAACTTTAATTCCATGCCTCTCATTTTCAATTCATTTATATGCAGGAACAGTTTCTCTATTTCTACTCTGGCCTCATGATTTTGAAAACCTCTATCAAATTTTCTCTTCTCCTTTTCTTCTCCAAGGCTTTAAACTATACACAGCATTCCAGCTTGGGTGTAACTAGTATCTTCTACAAGTTCAGCATAATCTCTTTTTTTCTTGTATTGTATGCGCCTGTTAATAAAGTCCAGGAGGCTGCATGCTTTCTTAACTGATCTCTCCACCGTCCTGTAACCTTTTTACATACAGATACAGCCATGTCCCCCTGCTCCTGCTGTGGAGGTGTCAGGTAGACAAGTCAGAAGTCATAGGATACCAGGTTATAGTCCAACAGGTTTATTTGAAATCACAGACTTTTAGAGCGCTGCTCCTTTACCTGATGAAGAAGCAGTACTCCAAAAGCTTGTGATTTCAAATAAGCCTGTTGGGCTATAACCTGGCATCCTGTGACTTCTGACCTCTGCTCCTGCACCTCCTTAAAATTGGATCCTTCATCTTATATTGTCTCTCCAAGGTCTTCCTACCAAAATGCATCACCTTAGACATCTCTGCACTGAACTTCTCCTGCCACCTGTCTGCCCACTCTTCCAAATTGTCTATGCCCATTTGAAGTTCTACACTGTCCTCCTCATAGTTCACAATTCTGTGTCATCTACAAATTTTAAAATTGTCTGCGGCATACCATGATCTAGATCATTAATATGGAAGGGTCCCAATACCAATCACTGCAGACCTTCCTCCAACCTGTAAAGATCCATTGACCATTACTTTGTTTCTTATACTTAGCTAATTTTCTATTCATGTTGATACTGTCCCTTATATTCCTTAAAGATAACACTGGGAACATAAGGAGGAAGCCAAGATAGATTATGCACTCAGCACTTCTAGTTGAAGATGGATGCAAAAGCTTCAGCGTTGTCTTTTTCCAATGTGTTAGGCTCCCCCTCACTGAGGATTGGGATACTTGTCAAGCTACCTCCTGTAGTGAATTATTTAATTATCCACCACCATTCATGACTGGATATGATAGGATTCAAAGCTTTGATCTGATCCATAGGTTGTGGGATCACTTGACTACCTCTGTAGCATGCTGCTTCCTTTGCTTAATACGCATGTAACCCTGCAGCCTCACCATTCGGAGCCTGATTTTTTTCACTAGGCCTGGTGCTGCTCCTGGCTTGTCTTCCTGTACGCTTCATTGTACCAGGGTTGATTCCTTGGTTTGATTGTAATGGTAGAATGGGTGTATGCTGGGCCATGAGGTTACATAGTGTGGTTTTAATACAATTCTAGATCTGTTCAGAATCTATCCCATTTAACACAGTGGTAGTGCCACACAATGCAACAGAGAGAATCCTCAGTGAGAAGATGAGAGTTCATCTTTCTTTATAATCTGTCATGGGATATGGATGTTGCTGACCAGGCCAGCATTTGTTCATTCCTGATTGTTCTGGAGCTGCTTCTATCTGGTGCAGATACACCCACATTGCTTTGAGGAAGGAAGTTTTAGGATTCTGATCCAGTGGCAGGGACTGAGGTGACATCCTAATGGACACATTCACCTGAGACAGGGAGATCGGTGAGGCTGAGGATGTGTGGTCTTTCCCTTCCCCAACCATTGCAATCCCAGTCTGGCAGTTAACTATTCACCCAGTTCAGGCATAATGGGTATTGTAAGTATGTAAGTATGCCAATGTAAGTATGTGGTCAAAAGTAAACGGTCTGTAGCCTGAGTCAGTTATCAGGCAGTGGGAAGAAATTGGTGGTGAGAGAGTAATTTATGGCTGGGACAAAATGTTCTCTGACCCAATATTTAGTTGTTGGAAATTTCTGCTTGTCCAGAACCAGACATCAGATTGGCGATCTGACAATTTACAGCCAGTGGAGGCAGGTCTAGTGATGAGGTTGGCTGGGTGTCACTGGTAACTCGTGAAAAATGATGCTGGTTTTGAATGATTTGGCTGAGGGCTATTCCCATTGCATAGGTGATTAACCGTTCGTTCCTGGAGACTCCAGGTCAGCCTTGGAGGCTTGGCAACACTGTGAGTAAGCACAAGCCATCGAGAGTCGGAGCTCCTGTAACGTTTTACACAAATGATTCTGTTTGCGAAAATGAATTCTTCACCGTCAGCTCTCTCAGTGTGAGGTTCTGGGAGTGACGACATTCCCTCCCTGTCTGAGTGGGCAGTTCATTACCTAAAAGTAACTGTTGCTTTCTTCTCGGGGCACAGGTGCGAACTCTTGCTGACCAGTACAAGCTGCCTGTCCATGTGGACGGAGCTCGCCTGATGAACGCGGCGGTAGCTTTGGGTGTGAAGGCCTCGGAGATATTGCGATTCTGTGACTCCGTATCCATGTGTCTGAGCAAGGTATGAGCCACCAACTGGGAAGAGGGGAGGCCTTGTCGGAAAATCTGTGGGAGGAGTAATTGTTTGAGTCGGATCATTCAGAACTGAAACAAAAAACAGAAAGTGCTGGAAAAGCTGAGTGGGTCTTGCAGCATCTGTGGGGAGAGAAAAACAAAAGTTAACGTTCGAGTCCAGAGACCCTTCTTCAGAACTGGGCTGCCTAATCCCAGGATTAGAAACAGAGAAGTTCAGGAACAAATTGAGAAAGACGGGAAGGTAATAAACAGAAGATCATAGAATCCCTTCAGTATGGAAATAGGCCATTCAGCCCAACTAGTCCACACCGCCCCTCCGAAGAGCATCCCAACCCAACTCATTCCCCATGTCTAACCCACCTAACCTAAACATCCCTGGGCACTATGGACAATTTAGTATAGCCAATCCACCTAGCCTGCACATCTTTGGACTGTGGGAGGAAACCGGAGCACCCGGAGGAAACCCACACAGACACTGGGAGAATGTGCAAACTCACCCGAGGGTGGAATCGAACCCAGGTCCCTGGTGCTGTGAGGCAGCAGTGCTAACCACTGAGCCACCGTGCCAAAGAAGGGGCAGATTTTTCAGATACTGTAAGGCTGATTTGAGTATCTTGAAAGGTTTAATTTTTTATTCGCTGCCTCAGAAAAAGCTAAGGAGCATCTAAGAGAGGGTTTCAAAAGGCTTTCTGAAGGTAAACAATGAGTGATTGTTTTCGATGGTTAACATCTCACTGATAATGCTCAGAAATTCAGGATTGTTATTGGAAGGAGGAAATAAAAAGAAACATTTTTGCAACAGGATGTTATAACGTGGAAGATTCTGGCACAAGCGAACATTGACACAAAAGCTGTACCATCAGTTAAAAGGGGACTTTTGTTGTATTTGAAGAGGGAAAGTATAGAATGACAGAGGCTAGACAGGAACTGGAATTAGAATAGATGGTTCTGACGCAGGAGCTGCAAGTGATTGTTCTCAATCTTCAGGTGATATGGGTGATTGTTCACCACATCACAGGGTCTGGCAGCGGGAGGCAGCACCAACATGAAAGTTGCAGCTTTGGATATCCTGGTTCAAGGGGAAGATGTTCGCCCGGGAGTGTTAGCTGAATTTCCTTGGGGCGGCTGATCTGTCTGTCTCTGACAGGGTTTCGACTGTTGGGCTGATTGTGTGTTTGTGGGTTTTGCAGGGTTTAGGAGCTCCAGTCGGGTCTCTCATCGGAGGCCGAAGGGAATTTATTGATCAGGCTGTCCGGGTGCGGAAGGTGCTTGGAGGGGGCATGAGGCAAGCCGGGGTGTTAGCTGCAGCAGGACTCCTCTCCATCTCCAATATGGTTGACAGGCTCCAGGATGATCACAGAAATGCCAAGAAGTTTGCCCAAGGTACCAACACTTGAAAATGTTTTGGTTCACCTCCTTTAATGGTAAAATTTATCTCAACATAATGTTGATTTGAGTTCTGTCCATTCCAATGTACCCAACCCTGTACACTGTCTGAAACAAAACACAGGGAATGTTGGAGAAACTCAGCAGGTCCAGCAGCATCTGTGGAGAGAGAAAAACAGAGTCTGATGTAACTTCAGAATATTTTCTGAGATAGTAGGAACTGCAGATGCTGGAGAATCTGAGATAACAAGGTGTAGAGCTAGATGAACTTCTGCACTTGTTTCGGATTTCCAGCATCTTGCTTTTATCCCTGGATAAACTGCAAGGAAGCAAATGCGCACAAGTGAAATAGTCCGATGTGATGACGGGGCTGAGATACAGTGTGGTTCTGTCTGAACCACATCAGCCATGTGCTGGAGGAAGGGGAGCTGGTGCTGCTTGATGCATGGGATGGTTCAGATATTGCAGGAGCAGAATATAGAGCTGTGCCTGCTCCTCTGTCCTAGTGGCTAATCCAGGCTCAATCCCCAGACGGCTGAGGTGTCAGATCATCCCGATGTAGATCACTTCGGGTCAGAGGAGATCGAAAGATGAGATCTGAGGGCTGAATTTTTTTGGATGGAGATGGGGAAGCAGAAGCCATGCCTGTTTCTGGATCAGAAACCTGCCTGTGGCTGGGTGACTGGTTAGAATTCAGATTTTCATGAGGGTGAGTCTTGACGGGGCCAGCAGTCCTGTTCACTTTGAGCCACAGTGGCAGGAACAGATTTCGCTGTCACTGCTGGTCTCCCTCAGGATTTCACTGAAACCTTCCACAGCACTCGAGGAAAGTGAGATGCCACGTAGGAGCGGGATACCTGTCTACTGGGTCTGGACAATACTTTCATTCTTCAATAACAACCTTGACCTAATGTTGGAGGCCATGAGTGAAATGGGAAAGGTCCTCTTCCCAGAGGGGTGAGGAGCCAGCACATTTTGTTAAGTGTGTGACCGAGGTGCCTGTTTCCTCTCCCTGACTAGTGGTTTCCCTTTTTTTTGTTCTGCATAAACAAAGATGCTTTAGGCCAGATATCTTGGAGTTTTTTTTTATTGTGGCCCTGACTGGGAATGTATTGTGAGGTGACGGACATAAAATGGGAGTGGCCACCATGAGAGTAAAGCCTCTGGACAAATTCAGGAAAGAGCAGGAGAAGGGACAGAAGGCAGGGGGAGATGGCACTGAACAGAGAGTTGCCCCTGCTCCACCAAGAGAGTTGCAAAGATCTTGTGAAGATGCCTTGAACATTAGGGATTTTCCAGGAATGTCTCAGCCTAGTGCCCCTGACCCAGATTGAGGGGCAGGCATTGGAGGGGAGGCTGAAATACCTGTGCTAACAGATGCACGGAAGATGTCCTCTGATACAGCTCAGCACTTACTAATGGAGTCATAGAAGAGGCCCTTTGGCCCGTTAAGTCTGAGCCAACCGATCTGCACCAATCCCACTTTTCAGCAGTTAGCCCATAGCTGTGAAAGTTATGGGCTCCTTCCCCAATGAACTGTTTCATTGCAGGGTCTCACCATCCTCATGTCCCACACCCCACTGGAGGGTCATGTTATCAAGAATGCAGCAGGACACCACAGTGACTGAGGGGCTTCTGGGCAGAGAGTACAAGAGCAAGGAGGTTATTCTACATGTGTATAAATTGCTGCTTCAGCCTCAACTGGAGTATTGTATTCAGTTCTGGTTTCTACACTTTAGGGTAGAAAAGAATTACAAGAATGTTTCCAGAGAAGTGGAACTCCAGCTTTAAAGATAGATCAAAGAAATTACGATGATTTTCCATGAAGAAGGGAATGTTGATGGTAATATTTAAAATCGTGAGGGCAAATAGGTCCTTCCTATTGGTGGAAGGATCAAGATCAAGAAAGCTGAGATTTATTTTCACTCCGTGAGTTGTTAGGGTCTGGAATGCACTGCCTTAGAGTGTAAGGGAGGCAGGTTTATTGGAAATTTTCAAAAGGGAATTATATTTTTATCTGGTAATGATTATAACCAGGGTTATGAGGAGAGTGCAGAAGAGTAACACTAGGTATACAGGTCTTTTAAAGAGTCCGTTTGAACACAATGGAGTGAATGGCCTCCTTCTCTGCGGTAATTCTAAGATTCCATTGGAAAACAGCACCTGAGTGGTCCAGGACTAGAACAGTATCTTATCATTTGTCCTGTAGAGTCCACCACATTTTTGAGGTTGCAGTGAAAGCTAGAGGCCGTGTTGGATGGTGGAAGATGAAGGATGAATGGTAACTACCAGGAAAGTGAGCATAAATACAGAGGAAGCTCCAGTTGTGGTCCCAGTTGAATGTAGAACCATAAAACCATAGAAATGATACAGCTCAGAAGGGGGCCATTCAGCCCGTCTTGACTGTGTTGACCCAAAGACACCCAGATGCCCTCTCCAGTCCCGTCTTCCTGTGCACAACTCATAGCCCTGCAGCTTACAGCACTTAAGGTGCAGATGCAGATACTTCTTAAAAGTGTTTAGGGTCTCTGCCTCCACCACCAGCTCAGACAGTGAATTCCAGACACCCATCACCCTCTGTATAAAAATGTCTTTCCTCATGTCGCCTCTAATCCTCCTGCCACTTAATGTGAATCTATGATTCTTGGTTTTTGGACTCTGTCTGCCAAGGGAACCAGGTTCCTCCTCTCTACTCTATCTCTACCCCTCTCAATTTTGTATACTTCAATCATGTCACCCCTCAGCCTTCTCCGTTCTGAGGAAAACAGTCCTGCTCCTCTGTTCTGGAGTAACACCAGGAGCCTCAACAGTGACACGGCCTGGATCATAAATTGAAGCTGCCAGTGGAAACGATTGACCAGGATAATTGGCTCTCCAAATGTTCCCTATTCATCAGGACTTGGAGAATGCAGTGTATTGTATTTCTGTGTGGTTTACCAAAGTAATCTGATCCATGCCCAGTTCTGATTATGAACCTCTGCCTTGAGTCTTCTGTCAGTTCTTTGCAACAAACAATTGTATCAATCTGCTGCTGGGTCACTGCTAGACGGAGGAAGTGAATTGGGACAACAGCATTCACAAAGTTGTATCAGAGATAGTAGGAACTGCAGATGCTGGAGAATCTGAGATAACAAGGTGTAGAGCTGGATGAACACAGCAGGCCAAGCAGCATCATAGGAGCAGGAAGGCTGAAGTTTCAGGCCATGAAGAGTCTAGGCCCGAAACGTCAGCCTTCCTGCTCCTGTGATGCTGCTTAGCCTGCTGTGTTCATCCAGCTCTACACCTTGTTATCTCAGCATTCACAAAGTGACAGCTTCTCTTGTACCACCTCAGTGTGTGAATTGCTGCAGAATAATCATTAAACATTGGAATTATTCAAAGAACAACTTATCAGTCAAGGGGTAGATTCTCTGCTCAAGTTAAATGTTTTTGGAATTTGCTGTGTAGAACATGTACGTCTGGGATTTGACTGTGGAAGTCATGCAGAATGCATTGAATGTGGATGGAGAATTGAAGTGCTAAATAATTTACATAATATGTAATCCTGATTGTATTCCACTCTGTGTGTCATATCAGCCTCATCTCTCCTGGTGTCCAGTGTTGCTATGGTTTGTGAAAGAACCTTTGAAAATTAACTTGGCTTAACAGTTAATTGCCAAATATAAAGTTGAAAGCGTTTTTACTGAAAATTGATGGGCTGCTGACCGTAGGTAGATAGAGGTCAGCAATGTTAACAAGTACAACATACAAAACTGAAAGGTAATGGTAGACCATTGGGCAAGATACTGCATAATGGATTGCATTTGTGTTGCTGTTCTGATTAATCAACTACAATACTGTGACGTCTGTATACACACCGCTGCAGATATCACTCATCTCCTTTTTAGCCAAAAGGTATCAAAGGATATGGGGCAAGCGAGTTGCAATTATGACAATACTGATCAGCCGTGATTTCATTAAAAAGCAGAATAATCATAAAGGGCTGAATGGACAACTGTTATTCCTATAAACAGTCTTCAGTGACTGACTTGGTAAATCTTGTTCACAGGTGTTCAGACGTTTGCTTCCTCCATATGCAACGTCGGTATCGATGCAGTGGAAACAAATATTCTAATGCTTGCAGTGAACGACCCAAGAATCTCACCCGAAGAATTCTGTGACAAGATGGCAGAGGTGACAGAGGACGAAATGACTGTGATGGGACGTGGTGTTCGAGTGTTAATGAACCCAGTGTTTGGACGCACGGTCCGAGCTGTTTGGCACGTAGACGTATCAGAGGAGGACACTGACCTAGCATTACAGAAATTGCAGTATGTGATGCAGAAGGTCCATCAGAAATAGCAATGGATTATCCAAATCCCACAAACCTTGAAGTACAATAATTGTGGCTTGTATAAGAACGGAAAATTCTCAGGTCAGACTGTGTGTGTGATGTTGTAATCCAAATGCCAGGTCTGATGGCTCACAGCGTTTTGTGCTGTTTGATTTTGGGAATTATGAATGCTGATTTTAAACACTCATCTTTGTTTCCAGATGCATTGCCCCATCATCTCTATCTACCCCAGCACCACAACCCTCTGAGATGTTTATACCTTTCTTCAGCATCCCGGATATTAATTGCTCAACCATTGATTGTTGTGCTTCGGTTGCCTGGGCTCCAAGTCCTGGGATATTTTGCCTGCAGCTTTCCGCTCAGCGGTTCCCTGCTAGTGCATCACTACATTGAAAGGTTCCTAGGACTACCTCAGAATTAATCGGATATCCCAAACTGTATTTACAAGGTTGAGTATTTTTGGTGGATTTCCAGGGAACGTTTTAGTATATTCAGAGGGTTCTGGAAAATTTATTATGTGCAGTTTCTAACATGAATACCACAGAAAAGTTCAAGGAAGCAAGGAGACATGTCTGGATCAAAAGGCAGACTTTACTTCTAGCTTCTAAACACTGTCATGTTGATGAAATCCCATAGAAAAGTATTCTCATTCTAACCACTACATAAACAACACAGAATATTTCTGACCCTGATAGTTGCAATACTGTTTCAGAACAAGTGCTGCTTGTGTTATCTGCTGGTAATACACTCAAAATTATTCTGTGATTCCAGTCATTGTTTAATTTCTTCTGAATCCGTTATTAGGATTTGGCAGCTGCTGATTTGGAGATTAGGCAATCAAATAAATTGAGCACCATTGATGTGGAGAGACTGGATATGATGTCCAGAATGACTTGTTTTGATGGATCAAATCCCCTGCTCCGTTTGCCAGTACTTCTTTAGCCAATGGAGATTTGGCATGCTCAGTTTGGTGTTCTGTTTGCTGCATTGCCATTGATCAAATGTAAAGTTCACAAATAGGTAATTAGCTGTTCATATCACAGTGCAGCAAAATCAGGCCCAACATTTTGCTTATGACTGATTCAGCAGTCAATGACTGAAGACTTTTATCCTCACTAGGAATTGTGAAATGAAGGACATTTATTACAAATGCCAGAAGAAAACAAACCTAAAAATTAAGAATTGTTGAATGTCTGTCTCAGGTATTAGAGAAATAGTTAATTGTTGAATGATTGAATAAAGGATGAAATCTATGTGCTAAATGTACGGTTTAAAACGTGGAATGCAATGATAATTGAGACATGGTCATGTACTTCAATTACAGAACGTTCATTATGACTCAAAACAGTGAGAGACAGCTTCTATTTCAAACTGTTGATTGAAATTCAACTAAACAAGCTACTTGTGTCAAAGCTTTTAGGTAATTTGTACTGTGTTTTACAACTGAGGGGGTTGCTATTATACCTGTCATTTTCAGAGCTTGACAAAGCTCTGGCATTTCACTTTATTTCTTTTGTTCTTACGTTGTGCAAAGTTTGGAATTAAAACTGAAAGTTAGAGAAAAAAGTTCCTCCAGTATCTTCTGTCACCTCATTATCCCTCCTCCGCTTCCTCGGCTGTCACCAAAAAAATACTTTTAAGATTCATTGCATATTAAAAAAATGGGAAGGACACATAAATTGTTGGTTTATCAGATGTTGCCTGAATGTGGAACTCATCCCCTTGAGACAGCATCTACCTCAAATCTTTCTTTGCTGTACTTTAGGGGAAGGTGATGGCCTAGTGCCATTATGGCTAGACTATTAATTCAGAGACCCAGACAATTTTCTGAGGACCCAGATTTGAATCCCACCAAGGCAGATGGTGGAATTTAAATTCAATAAAAAATCTGGTATGGAGTCGATGGTTGTCAGGGAAAAATGCATCTGGTTCACCGATGTCCTTTAGGGAGAGAAACCACTATCCCTACCTGGTCTGCCTACATGTGACTCCAGATCCACAGCAATGAAGTTGACTCTTTCCTAGGGATGAGCAGTAAATGCTGGCCTAGCCAGCAATGCCCACATCCTGTGATTGAACAAATTTCAAGGTAGATGTACATATAGTTATTAGGTCTAAAGGATCAGAGGCAAAGGGAACAAAAGCAGGAAAAGGGTGCTGAGTTGGATGACCAGCCACGATTCTGTTGAAATGAGGCTCGAGGGCCGGATGGCCTGTTCCTGCTCTTACAATTTTATGTTTAAAGGACAAGGGCTCCTAAAAACCAGCTAGAACTGACATGTGAGGATAGCTCATCAAATGTGACCTGCACTAACTTGTTCTCAATCAAGGGCCTAATCTGAATTGCTGAATGAGAAATCAATGCAGTGTTCCATTTATTTCCCTAGCAATGAGTCACTGTATCCCAGGGGAGTCATTGTGCAGAACAAAGAGGCACTGTCTTCTCCTCTCTTCATGTCTGCCATTAAACTAAATCTGATCTCCCTACGAGGTCAAATGTGCCTGCGAATATCATTGACAAAGGCACTCTCAAAATTTCTTTAATTTGGTCGACCTGAATTAAGATATCCTGCCTAAAGCCTCTGCTAAAATATTTAACAGATAGGAATATCATACAAATGCATTAAGATCACAGCACAGACTCGATCTCGTAGTGTTCAGTCTTTGCTCAATTAGTTACAGGCATCATACAACACATCATTTTGATCATTCCCCTTGCCCTGTGAAGTGTAGCCTGTTGCCATGAGTGACAATGCACCTTACCTGGTACTTACCGCTGTCCTGTATTGTTATTACAGTGTATATCTCCTGATTAATGTATCTCATGTGATAGTGCAAAAGCTTTTGTCACTTTTGAGGAGAAAAGAAAGTGAACCGAGAGACTAAACAATTCCTTCTTCAAGAAAAGTCCGAGAGGGAGAGACAGCTGTTGTTGGAATATCCATCAACATCATTTTGTTTGGTTTAGAGCAATATTTGAGAATCCTGGAACCAGATTCCCTGCCTGCCTCTCTCTTGTTAATCACATATTGCTCAGGATGAATTAATGTATTAATTCACACCATAATGCAAATCGCAGGTCAGCAAATAACATGCAGACAGAGGCGTCACTACCCAACTGTTCTGCTTTCTTTTAACCATCTGGCTTCTTGTCGTAACCTTTGGTAAAAGCGGGGGAGAGAAAGAAAGTATCCACTAACTCCAAGAGGTGAAGGGGAGGAAATGATGTGAATGTTTGAGCTAAATACTGTGCAGTCTCAATAATTATAGAGCTAATAATATTTCCTAATTATGCTGTAGTTGGATGCTTCTGTCTTTAATCAGGCTGGATGGATTAATTCAGAAAAAGTTTTGATCCAGAATGGGCAGCATTGGAAGCAGCATTCTTCGCTCCATGATTAAGCATTCCGGGATCCTCACTTCTCACAATAGACCTCATGCATAGAATTTTTTGAAGCATTTTCTATTTGTTCTCTTTTCATCGCTTGCATATTTTTATAATTAAGTAGTTCTATCTATTGCCAGCAAAAAAAATGTTTGTGGAATAATGCTGGCCTTTTTTTCTTTCTAGTTCAGTAAATGGGTGAAAACATAGTTATAACTAAGGGCATAGAAAACATGAGTGGACAATTCATCAGTGCGTCTCTGGGAGCCCCGCCTGTTTGAAAGTGGCTGCACAAACATTGTACTGAGAATTTGTCAAAGAAAAGCCTGTGTAGTGCAACAATACTGTACAGTGTGGCTAAAGTGCAGTCAGCATTTAACCTCAGATGAGACTCAAGGTATCTTAAAGCAACGGTGGGAAAAGGAGATGGATGGCAGATACTAATCTAGTAAGTAGTTTTACCACCAAAGAGTCAGCTTCCTGGGTATGATGAAGGATGGAGAATGACAGGCTTGGGTGTTACAAACTGTGCCATCAGGTCATTAAGACCTGGAAGGGAGCAGCTATCGTTTACACTGAGCACCACTGGTAGTAAAGGTCACTACTATCATCCAAACTTTATGCCATAGGGTGCATCCCGGCACTGATGGGAAAAAAAAACCTCAGGAGTCACCATTTCATTCTAATAACATTCTTTATTTACACATAGATTGGAAAACTCGAATGACCTTACACGGAGAGTGGTGCCTGTGTGGAGTGAACTTCCAGAGAAAGTGGTGGATGCGGGTACAGTTACAATGTTTAAAAGATGTTTAGATAAGTACATGAATAGGAAAGGTTTGGAGGGCTATGGGCCATATGCAGGCAGGTGGGACTATAGTTTAGTTTGGGATTAGGTCGGCCTGGACTGGTTGGACTGAAAGGTCTGTTTCCGTGCTGTATAACTCTTATGTTCCTTTGACTTTTTGTCTAAAGTCAGGAATGCTATGTTCCTTGGGGAAAACCATCAATTTGGGAGAAAGTTCAACTTAATTTGCTGCTGATGCAGCTGGTGTTTACTGCTGAGGTTTACCTGGATGAGTACCTATTGAAGCAGAGTTCAGCAAACTCCTCAATATCTAAGTGGCTGACTCATGAGATAACCTCTTTGGACACTGCATGGTCTGGGGCAGGACAGTTGATATTTATCAGTATTACAAGGAAGATGAAAATCTCTTCATAGCTCAGGCTTAAATAACACATTTCAGTGAGATCACAGTACTATTGTGTCAATACACCGCTCCCACACATGTCCAGGTGTTGCTTACACACTCTGTCCTCAGTCTCCACATTCCCCTCATCCTGCTGGGAATGCTTGCTGTACCTATGTTCTTAATGCCCCATCCTTTGTACAGTTAATCCATTGGCTGGATTATGCATTCAGAGCACCATTTTTATTTCCCCCTCTTCCCTTCACATAATTGTATGAACATCGAATTTGTCCCTAACAAGTATATTACGCTTTCTCGTTGTCTTGCTGCCATCTACTCTTGTCTGGTTTTTCATTACACTTAACACCCAGAGGAGAATATATCCAAAACTGGTAGACAAACATTCACAGATATCTCCACTGTTCACAACACATTTCAGATTTTAGCTTATTACAGAACTTGGCAGAGAACTAAACCACAAGAAACTGCAACACAATTGTACATGACCAAAGTGCTCATATGGTTGCTGACTGCTGTAGATGCTGTACAGCTGTGAGCTTGGCAGCCAGAAGAAATAAAGACCCAGCAATGACCTCTAAGACACAAGAAAGGCAGGCCAAACCCAGGGACCAACTGAAACCAATGTAAACATTATTGAACAACTCGTGTCCGTACAAACACATCGCAATGGCGAAAGCTGCTTTCGAATAAGCGATGTACACTGAGATCCCAGCCAGGGTCAATGCACCTGAAATATAAAGAACAAATGCTATTAGAAAGTCAAGCCAAATTATCCGTACATTTGCCATTTTTGTGCATGCCAATCAAAAAGAAGGGCATTGGTACTAAGGGGCATCTACCTTAAACTAGGGAAAAGACTAGGCAATGACTCTCTCCAACAAAGAGAACCTAACCATCGCCCCTTGATTTTGAATGACATCACCATCACCGAATCCTGCACTGTCAACATTCCAGGAATCAGCACTGACCAGAAACCGAACCGGGTTGGCCAAATAAATATTGTGGCTAAAGAGCAGGTCAGAGGCTAGAAATCCTGGAGCAGGTAACTTGCCTCTTGTCTCCTTAGTGTACATCCACCATCTACAATGCAAAAGGAGAGTGATGTAATAGTCCCCAGTTGCTTGGATGAGTGTAGCTCCAACCACTCAATAAGTTTGACACCAACTGGGACAAAGCAGCCCTCTCAATTGATATCCCATTTACCACCTTAAGTATTTATTCTGTCCAGTGGCAACAGTGTGTACCACCTACAATAAAAACAGAAACTGCAGAAATTCACCAAAGTCCCTTAGAAAGCACCTTCCAAGCTCAAGAACACTACTGTCTAGAAAGACTGGGCAGAGGATATGTCGGACAATCATCACCTGCAAGTTTCCCTCCAAGCCACTCACCATCCTGAAACATATCACCAATCCTTCTATGTTGCTGGGTCAAATTCCTGAAACTCTCTACCTAGAAGTATTATGGGTCTACCTACTCCAAATGGACTGCAACAGTTCAAGAAGGCAGCTCACCACCACCTGCTCAAGGACATTACGGATGTGAAATAGAAGCTGGCTCAGCCAGCGAAGCCCGATTTCCCCGAATGAATAAGCAAAAGTCTCCTTTTCAGTGCCCAGTGAAGCATAGTTAAATACAGAAAACGAGTCTATGATATTTTAATCAACTTTTGTGTGTGTTATTACACACCTCTGGAGGCAGTTGGGAATTAAACCCAGGTCTCGTGACTCAGAGTTAGGGACACTACCACTGTGTCACAAGACCTTTCAGAAAGCAGTGCTAATCTCAAAACTCTTTACTGTATGCACCTGCATGCTCATGAACTAGCCCAACTAGTAATGTTAAATAATCTGCCATTCTTACCTAGCCTGAGCTACATGTGACTCCGGACCCACAGTAATGTGGTGACTTTTAATCCACTGGGCGCTATGCTATGTGAAGGATGAGCAATAAATGCTGGGCTGACCAGCAACACCCACATTCAATGAACAAATTTTAAAAAGTAACACAGAGGAGACAGCTGAACGCTCAGGCGTGACATCTTAACAGAAAATTGTCTGACATAAGTTTCTAAAGAATTGCAAACTAAATAAATTTGCAAGGCTGGTACCTGCAGGAACATGTCTCCCAGATCATAACGCATCCCATCAATCACAAAATTAGTCAGCAAATCCAACTTCTATTTTTTTTAAAATAAAAACACCGATGTGGCCAGTGAGCCATTAACCAGCATGGTGGCTGAACATAACCAGCATGGTGGCTCAGTGGTTAGCACTGCTGCCTCACAATGCCAGGGACCCAGGTTCAATTCCACCCTTGGGCAACTGTCTGTGTGGAGTTTGCACATTCTCCCTGTGTCTGTGTGGGTTTCCTCCAGGTGCTCTGGTTTCCTCCTGCAGTCCAATGATGTGCAGGCTAGGTGGATTGGACCATGCTAAATTGCCTGTAGTGTACAGGGATACCTAAATTAAGTGGGTTATAAGGGGATGGGTCTGATAGTCAGTGTGGTCTTGTTGTGCTGAAGGGCCTGTTTCCACACTGTAGGGATATCTATGATAACTGCAGAAGAGGGGCAGGCAAGTCAGCAGTATGACCCCTGCTCTGTGGCCTGCATGAAGAGGTCTTCTGATCTGTCCCAACTTCTATTTGTCTCTCTGGTTTTATTAGGTGTTGACTTAATCTCATCCTATATTATAACGGTTAATTAGCTTTCTCTTGGTTAAGAGCTGTCCTGAATTATCAATCACATTATTTTGACTGTTCATTTACACTTCAATTATTACCTGTTTAATCTCTTAAACCAATCTTACTATCCTTCCAATATTCTTGGGATATCAAATTTATGTTTTACACTGAAATTACTTCCCTCTGCACGTCTTTTTCTTAAAGAATTCAATGCACGTTCTTAAAGATCGACAGACATTTCGATCTTCCATAGTGAATAAGACTCTGATATTCTCATATGTTAAAGTATGTGCAGTTTTGTGCTTTGAATTTCCACTTATTAGCAACAGTGTATGACAGAGTGGACACATTCCATGTAAATATGCTATGAAATACCCTGCGATTGTATGCTCAGATGCTCAGCCTAAAAACCTGGGATTTGGGGAGTTAGAGATTACACAATGTGGAGCTGGAGAAACACAGCAGGCCAGGCAGCATCAGAGGAGCAGGAAAGCTGACATTTCGGGTCGGGACCCTTCTTCAGAAATGGGGGAGGTACTTCCCCAGCCCCACCCCCTCCTCTCTCTATTTACTTTGGAGCTCCCCTCCTCCCTTCCCCATTTTCTGAAGAAGGGTTCCAACCCGAAACGTCAACTTTCCTGCTCCTCTGATGCTCCCTGGCCTGCTGGGTCCCTCCAGCTCCACACTGTGTTATCTCTGACTCCAGCATCGTCAGTTCCTACTACCTCTGGATTTGGGGAGTTACCTGTGCAAGTACAACGCCACCATTCCTCGGGAGTCTCTTACAAATCCCTTTGGCTCCTATCAATGTAATTCTGCTTAATATGATTGTTGTGCCTCTCTGCAAATTTGCTGCAATGTGTTTGCTCACCAGCTTGCAGAATCATTTCTGATGTTTTATTGCAATCTTTTGACAAAAAGAATTAATGCGCAGAGGGTCACTTTCCTTCTTCTATGAGTGCATTCATTATCATATCAAAATAAGATGCATCAAAAATTTATAATGCTTCCCCACTGAGGTTAGTTGAAACAACCCGGGCCTGGTCTACATGAGTAATGAGTTGACATTTTAATTTTCATCTTTAAAGAAGAAATATACTGGAGTGAAGGAATTTGATGGAGGTGATGTGTGTCTTGGGCACCAGCTGGAGAGCTGGCAAGAGAATCAAGAACAAAAACAGATGTTGCTGGAAAAGCTCAGAAGGTCTGGCAGCATCTGTGAAGAAAAAGTCAGAGTTAATGTTTCAGATCCAGTGACCCTTCCTCAGAACTGATGGTAGCTGGGAAAACGTCAATTTATATGCAGAAAATAGGGAGGGGTATGGGGTAGGGAGTAAATGATAGGATAAAGGATAGAGCCCGAACAGAGAGAAAAGCAGTTGGACAGACAAAGGAGTTGATAACGATCTGGCTAGGAGGGTGAATAGCTGTGAATGGGGACTGTTAGTGACTGACAATAGGTAGTGTGTAATGGCAGGCTATGTGATAACCTGGTGTATAAGTAGGGGGCTAGGACATGGGAAAGTTTCGGTCCTAAAATGATTGAACTTGGTATTGAGTTCGGAGGGCAACAGGGTGCCCAAGCAGAAAATGAGGTGTTGTTCTTCCAGCTTGCGATAGGCTTCACTGGAACACAGAGACAGAGATGTTGGCCAGGGAACAGGGTGATGTGTTAAAGTGGCAGGCAACAGGTAGCTCAGAGTCTTTTTTGCGAGCAGAACATAGATGTTCTGCAAAGCAGTCTGCCAGTCTATACTTCGTTTCCCCAATGTAGAGGAGACCACATTGTGAGCAGCGAATGCAGTAGACTAGATTCTGGGAAGTGCAGG